CAGCAAATACTTAGCCCGGATATCGAGAACTAAACTATAACTAGGCAACTCAACATCATAGATTTCAAAAGAATAACCAAGCAATTCGAGGTAAAGAAAACTCATTACCTCGAACCTCCTCGTCCCGCTCAATCTCTCTGGCAAGAGTGGTTTTCCCTGAACCACTCATCCCTGAGATCCCAATAAGTCTTTCCTCATCAGTGGATTTAAACAACATCTTCTTCACCTTCCCCTTCCCCTCGCTCAAATTAAATATATTGATTTTCAAAGAAGTGATTCTATCAATTAAGATATCAAGAAATTTTTCTATCTGATCCAGGCGCGCTGTAGAATTATCACCATAAGCAAATATACGAGCCTTAGTCACCTGCTCATTCCTATGGACGTTCTTGCTCATTCGATCTACAGCCCCACGGAGATGACGAACGTCAGCGAGAGTGTGGAGAGGCACTATTCCTTGAGAAAATCTATAGATTTTCCTGTCGAGATCTTCCATTTTCTTGACGTAGTTGATCTGTCGAACAAAGTTCCAGCGTTTACATTTCAGAACCTTTTCTGTGAGCATCCTGCATTCCTCAAGGTTGTCGAAGAACATACGCAGTTGATCTTGGCGATGTTGGCTCGACTCGCCGCTGCTATCCATGATCTCCTGTATCGTGGGTTGCAAATCATCGATTGTGGTGGCAAGATTCTTGGCAATGTCTTTACACATGTAGGCTTTCTTAGATACCGCATAGAGCTGCTTCACCAGCTCTTTTACAACTTCTATGCCAATAGCTTCTGCCATGATGAGTAAGTCGATGAGGGAACTGTGAGACGTGAACTATGTATGTAGATCAAGAAAATGCGTCGACCCACTCATGACATTTCGTAGCAATTCAATTATTCAAATAAGAGAAGAAAGACTTTTTTTTTTTTTGTGTGGCCAGCATATTCTTTTGACTATTATTAAGATTTGGATTAAAAACGCGTTTTTAAAGAAGAAAAAAGAAACACTCAAGAAAATGTTTATCTGTCTTATGTAATAAATAAACGTTTCAGGTTCATAAAAGAAAGGCTGATAGCCTGATATCAAAAAATAAAAAAGAAGGATATGAATTAGAAGAGGCTGAATTAGCTCCATATTCGTGTAAATAAAACTATGAAAAATATCCGATCCAAGCTCACTCGAGAAGTATCCCGGAGGCAATGAACATTAGCCAATGTTTGAGTCATAGTCACCTGCTCACTCCTATAAACATTCTTGTTCATTCGATCAACGGCAAGTCTTCCCTCATCATTGGATTTATCGCTTATCACATTCACCTGCTCACGCTTATGGACGTTCTTGTTCATTCGATCAACAGCCCCAACGAGATGACGAACGTCAGCGAGAACGTGGAGATGCACTGGTCCTTTAAAAAATCTAGAGATTTTCCTGTCGAGATCTTCCATTTTCTTGACGTAGTTGATCTGTCGAACCAAGTTCCAGCGTTTACATCTCAGAACCTTTTCTGTGAGCATCCTGCACTCCTCAAGGTTGTCGAAGAACATACGCAGTTGATCTTGGCGATGTTCGCTCGACTCGCCACTGCTATCCATGATCTCCAGTATCGTGGGTTGAAAATCAGCGATTGTGGTGGCAAGATTCTTGGCAATGCTTTTACACATGTAGGCTTTCTTAGATACCGCAGACAGCTGCTTCACCAGCTCTTTCACAACTTCGATGCCAATAGCTTCTGCCATGATGAGTAAGCCAATGAGGGACTGTGAGACATAAATTAGATAAGATTACATGAGAAATTGCGTAAACCAACTCATGAAGTTTCGTAGCAATTCACCTTTTCAGTTTTACCACTGAAGCAGAGAAGAAAGATTTTTTTTTTTCTTTTTTCTTTTAGCCAATGACATTCAGAATAGGGCTCCGATTGGTAACCCATTTAGGAATAAAAAGAACAAAAAGGAACAAAAATAAAAAAGAACAAACAGGAAAAGAATTCTCATAAAAAATAGAAATAAATGCTGAGGAAAAATAGAACAAATGTTCCAGTAAATGGTAACCAAAAAACTGAACAAGTAAACTTAAATAATATAAATAATTTATACAAAAAATTATTTAATAAATTTAAGTTTAAAAAGAAATTTAGTTTAGAACTTTCATTTAAATTATAATACTTAATATAATAATTTAATTTATTTTTTTTATATTTTAAAACATTAATAAATGTTTTAAGTTAAAACCTATTTTAAATTTCTTTAAATATTTTTCTAATATAATATATAAATTCAAAACATTAATAGAAAGTGAAAATTATGATGAAATAATATTTTATTTAAAATATATAATAATTTTTTAAAGTATTTATATATAGAAATGTCAAAATTATCAATATAAATATTTTTAAAATATTGAATTATAAAAAAACGAAAATAATATTTGTTCCTCATTGTTCCTCTACAATTTTGAGTAGGAACATTTTTGAACTGTTGTTCCTTTTTATTCGAGGAATGAATAGGAATAATATAGATCCCACATATCTGAAAATTGAAAAAACATTATGCGTAAATGGTAGCAAAAATTGAGGAACAATGAGGAACACCACATTCTTCTTCATTCTATTCCTAAAAAGTGGTCACCAATTGGAGCCTATATTAAATGACAAATCGAAAATATTAATAAAAACTGTAGCCGACGACTGACCAAAGAATTGGATTAAAACGCGTTTTTAAAGAAGAAAAAAGAAACACCAACTAAAATCTTTGTCGAGCAACGAATGTTCGAGGCGGTTTCCTAAACACACCATGTGGAACAAAATTTTGTCATTATTCATATATATAAAGTACGTTTAAATCCACAGTATGTTACGGGAGAACCTTTTATTTTCATACTAGATGATGACCCGCACATACGTGCGGGTGTATTTTCAAAAGCATAGTTTGATGGGTTTGTTTTTTTTTTTTTTTTTAAGTTTTGTGAATTGGCAATTGAGGAGTACAAAAGATTTAACATTGAAGAAAGTATGTTTGTCTCCGTAAATCCAATGGCAACTTATAATTTATAAAACGTTTGAAATCAAAAAATCATTGAGCAAAAGCTGTCTCTGTACCCTATGCTAAGTAGTGTAATTTTGTTTGAGTCAATATCACATTGAAATCACATAATCAAATCAGATTTCAGGAGAAACAGCAAAAACCAAGAAAGTCTAAAACATATGTGATCAGAATTCCAATATTAATATAAAAAGAGATGAGATCGGACTAAAATGTTTTGTTCAATGTTTCCTCATATCTCTATATACATACAATCCAAATACTAATAATATACTCTAGTTTTTTATTTACCAAGATTTTAGCTTCAATTTGCTGATTCATATATTGTTCATATCTATATTGTTCAATATACTAAATGGAAGCAGAAGTGAAAAATACTATTTCTTGCTAAACAAACAATTACTATCATATATTATGTTTTGATATTACAAACAAAACAAAACAAACCAAGCATATATTATAATAAAGGAGATATTGTTCCTTCTTCTTCAGTGGTGTCTCTCGTTGGCATTAACTTCTTGTTCTTCGAGAAGTCAAACTTGTATGCATGCATTCGCCTCTAAGAGTATTGTCGTTGGTTTTTGGTGGAAAGACAAAGTCAATTTTGTATGATTTCCCAACATTATCTCAGTCTGCAACAATTTCACACCCAAAATAATGTAAATAAGAGGATGTAGTTAATAAAGCTCACATTAAAATAAGAAAACTTGCCTTTACCTTTTGAACCATTCTTCTTTTTCTCTCATCTTTCATTAACACCTCCATCTGTTATTTAACCGAGAACAAAGACAAAAAAAGTTCTTGAATTAAAAAAAAAAAAGATAATGATTTACAGATAGTAGAAGAAAGATAGGTTTACTCTTCTCTACTCTTCTTTGTTGTGAGCCCATTCTTCAAAATCTTAGAGATTGTTACCACAACTATGATTGCAATATACAAAAGACTATATCATACATATATATACGCAAAAGAGAGAAACCGATCTAAAAACATTTATCATATGACATGATTAAGTTATAATAAGAATGCTTTACCAAATGACTTAAGATGTCAAGTAGTGTATTTATATTCAATATTCTGTATGGTAGCGTTTGATTTATTATTTGTGTTTAATATTTTGATAATTTAGTAAAACTCCAAAATTTTTGTTGAGTAGTTTTTATTTTTTGGCATAATTTTTGTATATTCACGACATCAAATTTATTAAGAGATCATGGTTGTTTTCAATTTCATCATAATATTTTCGTTGAGTAGTTTAAATTTTGCGGCATAATATTGGTATATTCACAAATTCAAATTTATTAAGGGATCATGGTTGTTTTAATAAATTATTATGTTTATTAATATCATCTATATTTTTTGCATCAGAATATATTTTGGTGGACATAACTCACGTAACGGATCATGGTTGTTTTCGTGAATATATTTTTTGATTTTATGATTTCTTTATTTTTATTTCGTGAATTCAAAATTTTTGGTTATCTATAACTTTTGATTTTTTGATTTTTATTTTTATTTTTCTTTCGTGATTTATTGTTTTCTTGTTAAAACTATCCAATTTTTTTTATTTTTTGTTACATATAACTAAATTGATTTGCTGTACACCTTTTTATATTGCTCGGGATTGATTAGTTAGTTCATTCCTATAATTTTGGAATATATTTGATATGAGTTGATTTTGGAAAAGAATTAAATATAAATTGCGTTATTGAGGAATCGTGATTTTAGGAATGAACTATATTGTTTACTATATTTTAGGAATCAAGTATAATTAATGATTAAATTAATTTATTACTGTATTGTATTTGTTTTGTTTTACTCTTTTTATTTGTATACACTATGTTTACTTTATACAAAATACTTCCCTTTTAATAGTATAGATGATAAACTATGATTTATACAACAACAAAAAAAAAATTTACTATTTTAAAAACACTAATTTATATTTTTTTTGCTAATTGACATAGTTGTATCTATCTATATATATAAAGTTAACTTTTCTCTCTTTTCCTTAAGCCACCTCATCATCCTAATCATCATCCACCTCATTTTATTATTTAATTTCAAGAATTAATTATATCATTTTATCATTTAATTTTAAGATTTAGATATATGTAAATAAGTTTCTCTAAAAGAAATATAAAAGGTCTTTTCTTATTATTTTATATTATAAAACTAAAAATGATAATTGATTATAAAAAACTTACTAATTATCGATTATACTAAGTAATATATAAATAATCTGTATATATAAAGTTAACTTTTCTCTCTTTTCCTTAAGCCACCTCATCATCCTAATCATCATCCACCTTATTCTATTATTTAATTTTAGGAATTAATTATATCATTTTATTATTTAATTTTAAGAATTAATTATATCATTTTCTCATTTAATTTTAATATTTATACATATGTAAATAAGATTTTCTATAAAAAAAAATATGAAAGACCTTTTCTTATATTTATATTACAAAACTAAAAATATAATTGATTAAAAAATAAAAAACTTACTAACTATCGATTATACTAACTAATCTCTATATTAGTAAAAGAGGAGTACAAAAACAATATGGGTCGGATTATTTTACAAAATTAAGAAAAATTACCCGATTAGACTTAAATGGATAGTTTCAAGTTGGATTAATTTTTTGCGAGATTTTCAATCCCATAAATTTAGGAAACTTAATGATGATAACTTATTAAGGAACTTATAATAAATGAAAATAGTATATGAAAAAACAATCCTAATAACTATACAACTCCGTAAATATCAAAGATATCAATCTTTTACAAATATTCTAATTAGTTACTACGCAATCTTTGTGATTTGATTATTAATCATTTCAAAATCTGATTAAATACTATCCAAAAATGATCTAACTACAAAATTATAATGGTAAAGATTTAAAACAATTATGTATAAAAAATTATTTCAAATTAAACATCTTAATAAATAGCCGATTATAGTGGCAATTTTTTCTATATTAACGCTTCCATAACTGTACAGATTTTAACAATCATTAATTATGTGGATTATTAAGAAAATGAGAGATTAATATATAATATTATAAGAAAACGAATTTATTGTTTTATAAAAGAAAAATTATTGATATAACAAACAAAAATGCACATACAACAATTTGTAAAACCAATTTAATAACAAAAAATTTAACATTATATATGGTAACTGAAAATCTTAACTTTTTAAAAAATACATCTCATTCTTTGTTAAAAAAAAATATTCCTTAAAACAAGTTGTATTTTTTAAATATGTATAAAATATTCTAATAATAATTACGTAATTTTCATTTTACGAGATCAGATTAAATATATAAAGTTAGTCTTATATGGAAAAACAAAATCTAGCAAAAACAAAGATTGTGAAATATCTTTTTATTAAAGAAAATTTTAAAAAAAAACTGACTTCTAAAAAAGACTAAATATATCAATAATTAGACTTTATCAATCATAAATTCGAACTCGACAATTAGTTTAGGAAATATCCAAAAATCTAATACATGAAAAGTTAAATATCTAATTTGTAATTATTTCCAAACATATTTAGAATTATTTGGCCAAACCTTAACTTCTTGAGTACTTTTCATACATCTATATAAAGATGACTCTTTTTTTTGACATCAAACAAATCAAACGATCAGCTCAGCAGAGCCAATGTGAAGGGCAGTTGTTAACAT